GGGCTCTCCCCAAGGCCGTGTCCTTCCCCAGCCCCGGCCGGGGCAGACCAGCTTCCTCGCGCGCCGCCGGGGCTCTCGCCTGCGCGGTGTTTCCTTCCCTCACGGCGCAGGGGCCGGCCTGTTTCCGAGCAGGGCAGAGCATGCGGGGGGCCGGTTCGAACCTGGCGAACTCCTTGAGCAGATGGTGGGTGTTTGCCTTGCCTCGCGGGCGGCGTTATCTCTGCCCGGAGATACAACTGGCGCCCGGCTCCTGTTATCAGTGTTTGTTCTTCCAGCCCGGAGTCGGGGGTGGGAGCCAGACCCAGACAACAGAGGAGGGGGTCTGTCTGGGGGGGAGGTGAGTCCACCTGGGACACGGGGGGGCCACAGTATCCGCGGGGTGGCTCTGAGCAGCTTGCCCCCAGGCAGCAGTCGCACCCACGGTGTCAGGATCGCTTTGGCCAGGGAAACTGAGGCACGGGGCTAGGAGAAAAGTGAGTCGGGCCTAGCTCCCCACAGAGCAGACTACTCAGTATCTTCTTCGCCTCCTCCATCTGCCCTCGGGGATGCAAGGCCAGACTGGCCCAGCTAGCGACGGTGCCCGAACGGGCACTTGGCCACGGAGTCACCTTCACCCCACTCCCGTGATCCCCATTGGACAGAGGGGGAAACCGAGGCAGCCAAGTGACTTGCCTGGTGTTGCACCGGCTGGCTGTGCTGGAGCAGGCCTGGCTCCCTGGCTAGCGCCCGCGCATGGGGCTGCCTTCCCTTTGCCTCAGGGCTGCGATCTGGGCTAGAGCTCTCGCAAGGCTTGGGGTGAACCCCAATAGGACTTGTGTTCCGTCGCGACCCCGGGAGCGTGCTGGGAGAGAGGGAGCGGAGCCGGTCCATCGCCCAGGCTGCGCGAAGCCCTGCGGGGTTCGCTCCCCCCAGACGTGCGGCTTGAAAAGAAGGCGCCACGGGCCGTGGTGGAGCGAGAGCCAGACCGGACGTTTGTGCCACGGCGCGGAGCTCACGCAGGGCCGGTCTCTGCCTGTGGGACGCCGCGACCCCGGGAGCGTGCTGGGAGAGAGGGAGCGGAGCCGGTCCATCGCCCAGGCTGCGCGAAGCCCTGCGGGGTTCGCTCCCCCCAGACGTGCGGCTTGAAAAGAAGGCGCCACGGGCCGTGGTGGAGCGAGAGCCAGACCGGACGTTTGTGCCACGGCGCGGAGCTCACGCAGGGCCGGTCTCTGCCTGTGGGACGCCGGCGCTCCGTGCGGGGGTCCCGGGCGGCCCTTCTGGCTGGGTAGCCCTGGGACATGTAGCTCAGCGCAAAGGCCCAAGCGAGGTGGGACAGGGCAGGGCCGTGGAAGGCCCAGAGTAGCCCCCAGCAGGGCGTGGGCACCACGCCGACCGGGGCGGGCCACGTACCCCCGGGCCCTGGAGCTGCAGGCTGCTGCGGAGTGGAGACAAGGAGCCAGGTCCCTCCGGGGCTGTAAGTCAGCCTAGCTCTGTGCTGGCCAGTGGCCTGCGGGCGCC